TTCTTCAATAAACTGTAATTATAATAAGGCACAGGTTTGCCCAATAGGTAAATCGGAAAAGGACTGTAACTTGCTATTAAGTTACAGAGCATTTTCTGAAGAAACCTTTGCATTTTGCTGATGGGGTGGGAGACAAATTGACTGTTTGTGTGTGTGTGTGTGTGTATCTGGAGATCTACGGTATGTTTTATTGTCCCCCTAGGCTGCTCCATCAGGTTGAGGCACATTTCCTGCCTCTTCTGCACTTTGCTTTACACCTCAGAAACCCCAACTTTTTCTGACAAAAAGAAAAGAAAAGAAAGTTGCTTCATTTTTCATGGTTTTTTTTCCTCCTCCCAGTAATAGAGCAGGTAGGGAGAGATCAGGCTATGGCAGTGATGGCTAACCTTTTCAGCAATGAGTGCCCAAACCGGACCATGCATGCATGCACACGCTGGAGTGCTGGAAACCCGAAGACCAGCTGACTGGTGTGCGCATGCCTGTTTTGGGGGCATTTGGGGGGCTGTTTTATGGGCTGTTTTCCGGGTTGTTTTCCGGCTGTTTTTCAGGCCGTTTCCTGGCTTTTTTCAGGCCATTTTCCGGCTCTTGTGTGCCCATAAAGACCCGGCTGACCAGCGTACACATGCCTGTTATTTGGCCATTTTGGGGGCTGTTTTCTGGCTGTTTTGGGGGCTCTTTTCCAGCACTCTGATGCCTATGAAGACCAGCTGGTGCTGGAAACCAGAAAAGCAGCTGGCAATGGTGCAGGTGCCCACAGAGAGGGCTCTGGATGCCACCTCTGATCAGAACTGAGAAGCAAAACATTTTCAGTCCAGTTGGGTTTTGAAAAGCACCTTTGGGACAACCCTGACCTGGATGATTGAGAATCTCCATAGACAGTGGCTTTCTCCTTGTGGCAAATAGACGGTCAGGGTTCCAAGTAATAAATCCATAGCAAGGAAAACTCTGAGGCGGGTAGATTCCTCAAATAATACTTTTATTTGGGATTATCGTATTGGCACAGATCTGGTGAAAACCAGCTCTGAAGCCTCCCGCGGTTTTCACCTAATTAAAAGTAAAAGTTTTCTCACTTTCTCAAAACAATCAGTCACATGGTCCGATCACAGAACAGGCTGGCAGCCGGGTGGCATCACTCCGCCTTCTTCCAACCAGGTGTGAGAATGTCCTTGGTTCTCGAGAGAAAATATGTTGTTTTGGCTATATGTTCCCCTCTCAGTTCCCTCCCCCCTATCTCTCAGCTCCAGTGTGCCAACCCTGAAGCGGACCAAATGGCTTCAGTCAGGTCAGCTTCAGGGTTGACATAGACAACTGCATGAGCACCAGTCAGCGCGACTAAGGAGAGGAGAAGTTAGTCATTGTAATTTGGGCATTCCCAGAGCAAGCGAGGTTCTCCCACCTCTCTGATAGTCTCTGCATGGTTCTTGCTTCAAATTCTCTTCCCTTTCTTATTGGGGGGCCC